ACCTCTATGACTGTAATCCTTTGGAAGTGTGACGGACAATAAGATGTGCATGAAGGTTTTACTGGACTTTTATAGGAGTTGAGGCAAGAAACAAAAGTTTGCATATTCAATGAAATGGCAGCAATATTGGAAATTGAGTTTGGGTATGAAAAACTTGTAATTTGCATCTTTTGTTATTCAAATAATTCATCCATCAGAAAATGGTGACACTTTTCATATTATTTCTAGGCTTTTTCTACAGAAATTAAATTTAAGGCTAGGTGCAGTGGCTTATGCCTATAATCCCAGCACTTTGGGAGGCTGAGGTGGGCAGATTGCATGAGGCCAGGAGTTTACAACCAGTCTGGCCGACACGGTGAAACTCCATCTCTACTAAAAGTACAAAAATTAGCTGGGTGGAGCACACACCAGTAATCCCAGCTACCCAGGAGGCTGAGGCCAAGGATCAGGAGGTGGAGGTTGCAGTGAGCCTAGATTGTGCCACTGCACCCCAGCCTGGGTAACAGAGCAAGAGCCTTTCTAAAAAAAAAATTAAAAGTTAAAATTAAAAATTAACACTAAAACATTGCATTATATTTGTAATTTCCTATGGAAGTAAACTGAATTTCTTATACAAATGTCAAATGGTGAAAACTGTAATCTATTCAGCCCTTCCCAGGATTATAGCTGCATAAACCCAGGTATAAATTAGCAAATGAAGCTGAGTTCAGTGGCTTATGCCTGTTATCCCAACGCTTTGGGAAGCTAAGGCAGGAGGATCTCTTGAGCCTAGGAGTTTGAGACCAGCCTGGGCAATATAATGAAACCCCTGTGTTTACAAAAAAAAAAAAAAAAAAATAGCTGGGTGTGGTGGTATGTGCCTGTGGTCCCAGCTACTTGAGAGGCAGGGATGGGAGCATTGCTTGAGCCCGGGAGGTAGAAGCTGCAGTGAGCTATAATTGCACTACTTCACTCCACGGCCTAGGCCGCAGAGTGAGATCTTGTCTCATTAAATAAATAAATAAATAAAAAGGAGAAATTAGAGAATGAGTTAGCATCATAATATAAAATGTGACTATAAATGAGATCTGTATGTCCATGGTAGTAAATAACACAATAATTAAATCATCAGTCTCCTGATGAAGAGTCTTGGCTCTGGAACCAGACTGTTTGGGTTCCAGTCCTGGCTTTTCAATTTATTAACTGCAGCTCTGGGGTAGGTTTCCTTTTTATTTTTCTTTCCTTTTTTTAAAAACAGGGTTTTACTCCAAAACCCAGGCTAGAGTGCAGTGGTGCAATCACAGTTCATGGCAGCCTGGACCTCCCTGGGCTCAGGCAATCCTTCCACCTCAGCCTCCAGAGTGCTGGGACTATAGGCGTGTAACACCATTCCAGGCTAATTTTTAAAATTTTTATAGGAACAGGATCTTGCAATGTTGCCCAGGCTGGTCTCAAATTCCTGGGCTCAAGTGATTTGCCTGCGTCTGCCTCCCTCTGTGCCCGGCCTAAGGCAGGTTTCTTAATCTCCCCTAGACTGTTTCTTTAATTGTATAATGAGAAGAGCAATAATAATGCCTCTGGTAGAAGGCTTCTGTCAGAATTCATTGACAAAACACTTTCAGTGGTTAGCACAGTGACTGGCACATTAAATGTGGCTGTTAATTACTGTATGTGTATTATCACATATGGATGCTTGTAGCCTATCTATTGAGTATGAGCCTTGTTTCCACAGCCTAATTGCAAGTTTTGAGAGGGCACAGTCCTCTCATTACCTAGCACAATGTCTTATAAATCTAATAGGTCAGTAACAAAATTTAAAACTAAAGGGCAGGCCGGGCGTGGTGGCTCACGCCTATAATCCCAGCCCTTTGGGAGGCTGAGGCGGGTGGATCACGAGGTCAACAGATCGAGACCATCCTGGTCAACATGGTGAAACCCCGTCTCTACTAAAAATACAAAAAATTAGCTGGGCATGGTGGCGCGTGCCTGTAATCCCAGCTACTCAGGAGGCTGAGGCAGGAGAATTGCCTGAACCCAGGAGGCAGAGGTTGCGGTGAGCCGAGATCGCACCATTGCACTCCAGCCTGGGTAACAAGAGCGAAACTCAGTCTCAAAAAAAAACTAAAGGGCAGTTTGAGGCTAGATTGATTATAAAGGCCCTTGATTCTCAATTTCCCTAGGCCTGCCCTAGGCCTGTCTCCTACTCTAGTTTAACCGGAGTCCCCTTTGAGTTGTGGCAGTGGGAGCTCTTGGCTGCTGACTACTCAACAGCATCCAATTCAATCAAGTGCTTAGAAAAGTAGTCAAAGGTCTGAGGCTGTAATGCATGAGAGTTTCCAGACAGTCATGGAATTTAGGAGCTGTTTCTTTGTTTCTTAGGTATTTCTGGCTACTGGGCAGTGTGTAATTTCTTTGTCTCACCTAAGTGAAATCATGTAGAATATAATTTATGTCCTCCCTCTTTAGCTCTTCTCATGGGATGGTGATGAGCTAGCTAGTATTTTTATCATCAAAGGACTGACTATCACTGTCTGAACAACTCATCTGCAACAAGCTACCATATCACCCGTGGTCAATGAACTGACTGATGTTTTTAAATTAATCCTTCCTAGTCTATAGCCATACCATCTTGAACACGCCTGATCTCGGAAGCTAAGCAAGGTCGGGCCTGGTTAGTACTTGGATGGGAGAACGTCTAAGAATCCTGGGTGCTGTATGTAGGCTTAAATAAATAAATGGTTTCTATGTTTTACTTCTGTTTTTCTTTTCCTTTTTTTTTTTTTTTTTTAAACTCAACTGGGTTATTCACAAAAAGAATAAAGTTTAATACTGGTACATATTGATTTCTTCCTTCTGTTTGTGAAATGCTGAATACAGCAGCTCTAGGTTTGGCAAGGCTGGGTTTCCTTACCCAGTGGTGTATGAGTTGCACTGTAACTTGGTATAATCCATAGGTTGAATGCAGGGCTTTGAGAATTTAAAGTATTTGCATATTCACAAGAAATATTAGGAAAGTTTGCCTAAGGCCTAGTAAATCCACAGTTGGGAGTGAATAGAGTTTACCAAACTAAATTCACCTAGCATTTGAAAATGTACATAAAACAAAATTAACAGGTAGATGCTCATACGTAGCAAAAAGGTATTTAGTGCTTCTGGTCACTCTCAATTATTTCACATAATATTCTACTGTTTTCTTTTTCCTAAAAAATAATTGTTTTAAGCTCCCAACTCTTCTGTCTCTTTTAATTTGAGCAAATTAAAAGTATCTTGGGGCTGGGTGTGGTGGCTCACGCCTGTAATCCAAGCACTTTGGAGGCAAAGGCGGGCGGATCACCTGAGATTGGGAGTTCAAGACCAGCCTGACCAACATGGTGAAACTCTGTCTTAAAAAAAAGAAAAAAAGTATCTTGGGAATGGCCCATCTCACCCCATCAAAGTTTCCTTTGTAAGCAAGTTTGCTAATTCACTCATCCTTTCCTGCTCTTTGATACTGAGACTACTATAAAAAGGGCAATGGATGCTAAAGATAACACATGAAGTAGGTTTTTTAGACCTTTTTTTTGACCCTTGGTACCGTCAGCTTTCTGAAGGGCAGGTAGTATCTGCATTCTGAATATGTTAAGGGACATACGAATCCATAGGAGGTACTTTAAACAGAATTGTATCATTGTCACCCTTGTTGCCATTTTACTTTCCCAAACCATTGCAGTGCTTTTTGCCAGTGACATTTTCTCATCCACAGCCAGCTCTGTCTGCAGCTCCTCTTTGCTATTTCTTCTGTTGGTGTCCATTTTAATTTAAAAAATAAATTTCTAATTTTTTCGTTCTGTTCTGTCAGTGTATACCTGCAGCTGCACCCACGTTTGATTATAGCTGAATAGTGTTGTGGAAATGAAAATCTTGCAACTAGATTCCAAAATGACAGACAGTGTTATTTACAAAGTACAAAGTGTTCTGTTAAAGCACTGTCAGCAATAAATAAAAACAGCTTTTTGGGGGGAGGAAATAACATCGGAGAGATCTAGGCCGAAGGAGGAAACAATCTACACTGTTAGAAACAGCCACATCTAGGGAAGCTGCTGAGGGACAAGGACAACAGAAACATAAGAGGCTCCCGATCGCAGGCAGTCCTCCAAGAGGCACCTTACAGAGGGCAGTTAGGTTGCCTTGATTTGCCAATTTCGCTCTTGAAAGATATACACTGAACCTTTATTTCCCAAGGACGACTCATTCAGCATTGTTGAGCACCTAAACTGTGCTGGAGATTGCACTGGAACTGGGCTTACGAAGATGAAAAGTGCACACAGTTCCTGTCGTCGGGCACTCCCTAGAGTTTTTAAAACAGAACATCTTAAGAGGGAGTTATAAGGGGTCCTGTTGCAAAAAGAGAGCAGCAACTACAATCTTGGAAGAGCCCTCAGGATGCCACAGAAGTGAGCTGTAATTACAGAATTTCGAAAGGCTTTTGTATCTTTCGACAGTAAATGAAAAAATGAAATACATTGTCCGAAAGAGAAAGAATTGGAATGTTGGATGAGACTGTTATACGGAAGAGTTAAAATATATTTAACTGGAGCAATGACTTACAGGGACAGACAAGTCCCTTACATTGTCAGTCAAGGGTCCAGGTTACAAACGAGTTTTAACTGATCAGACTGATGAGCGCCCGCGCGCAGCGCCTCCTGCAGACGCGCGCCTCGCAGCTTTCAGTTAACGCTGACAGCTGTTCAACACCACCCAGCTGGGGGCGGGAAAGTCCGCCCACTTCTGCCAGATTTTGCACACAATACAGTAGAAAGGGCACTCTTATGGTTCCCAGTGTTTTTCCCCCTTAATCGCCTGCGATTTTAGTGCTCTTCGGGGAGTATGTCTGCGGAATTTAAGAGGTTTTTTTCCTCGTTCTCTTTTGAAGAAGTGATAAAAATCATTTAAATTAGCGGCAAGGCGGTTAACACCCGCAGCCCAGGCCTCCCTACACGCCTCGTCGCTCGTCCGTGTTCACTCCACGCCTGGCTTCGGGTACGAGCCGCACAGCGCCAACGGTCGCCGGGTGGCAACAGCTCCCAGGCGGCGCACGACGGGCGTTGAGTGCTGGGCCCCGCCGGACCGCTGCGAGTTCAGAAGGCGCGGGGAGGGAGGCGAGGCCCAGCCGCGGGCGGCTTTTGACGAACGGCCCTCACAGCCAATGGGAAGCCCGGTCGACTTTCCCGCCTCTGCCAATAGGGAGCAGGACCCGGGCCGGGGGGCGCTTCCCGCAGGCTGCAGCAGGATTCGATCCTGCGCGACGGACGCCAAGACTGGGGCGGAGGCTCGGCCCGGGCGCCGGGGAGCGGCTTAGGGGAGGAGGGAAGACCGGAAGCCACGGTCGCGTCCCCATCCTCAGATTCGCTCCCTCGGGCAGGAGCGGAGACGGAGGATAAGGGAGAGGCTGAATGTTGGCTCGGTAATAGACGGGAACGGCTGCTTCGGAGCCTCATCCCAGGGCGCCCCTCTCAGTCCGTCCGCGCTCCTCAGCCGCCAGGCTCCTGGCCGTGAAGTCCCCGCGGACGGCCGGGTCGCGGAGACCCTCGCTGAAGAGGCGCTGCTGGCGGCAAGGACTGGCTGGCGGCATCCGAGGCGCGCTCCCCACCGCCACCCCCACCCGCCTGTCCGCCGGTCCCTCCGGCCGCCGCCATGTCCTCCTCCTCTTCCTCCCCCAGGGAGACGTACGAGGAGGACCGGGAGTACGAGAGCCAGGCCAAGCGTCTCAAGACCGAGGAGGGGGAGATCGAGTACTCAGCCGAGGAAGGCGAGAACCGCCGGGAAGCGACGCCCCGGGGCGGGGGCGATGGCGGCGGCGGCGGCGGCCGGAGCTTCTCCCAGCCGGTAACAAAGCGAGGCCCCCCTGTCCGCCGTGCTTGGCGGCTCCCCGGGAAGCAGGGCCGGGCGGCGGGGCCTCGGCGCGGGGCCTCCCGCTCGCTTCGTTAGCCTTTTCCGTTGAGCCGATCCGATTGGGGAAGCGCCCCTTCTTCTCTTTGGGGCTTGTATTCTGGCCTCTACCTGTTTCCCGCATCCCGACTGCGAACCTGGCTCTGTTCTGGCCGCAGGCCCCACCGCGAGTCCACTGCCGGGCCCTGAACTTGGGGAGGGTCGCGGCGCGGGGGCTGCGGGGAGGCGTCGCTTCCGCTCCGGGGGGTTTCGGGGTGCGGAGAGCTCTTTGTTAGTTTAACTCATCGGGCTCCCGGCCAGCGTCGGGACCACCGGTTCCCTTCAGCCCCTCTACTCGCAGTCTCCGCACGCTGGTCACCATCCCGGGATGGTTAAGTCAGCTCCAACGGGGGCTCTCTCCGCCTCGGTCCTATGGAGAACCGTAACTAAATAACAGATTATGCCTTGGCATTCACGTGCTAGTTTTCTTGAAGGTTTAATTTTAAAAATTGTAAAATTAAACTGTTTTGACGTGCATCCTTTGCTACTCAGTTTTGTGATGATTGCTCAGTGCACTTTTTACCTCTTCCGTTGCAACACTTAACAAAAGTGTTGGCAGCTGTTGGTACATCTCTCCCTTTAAGTAAAACACATCTTAAAATTACTAAAGTTTTTCATTGGTAATTTATTCCAGATTTGCCCCGTGAAAGGATGAACTGAACTCAGGGCTCCTTTCACGGGGCACACATTCCTAGAGCCATGTCTTTCTCTTACAAGAAATGTTAGTGTGAGGCAGAAGGAATGTGATCATTTTGTCCACAGCAAGTAGTTAGCTTCAGTTGTATGGAGACTTGAAGGAAACAAAGCGGAGCAAACGTTATTGCCCTTTTTTGGTGCACTTAAGCTGTCTTAATGACTTGGATGTTTTTTAAACATTTAACACATATGAATTGTGATTAATTCTGCAAACTTTAACCGGAATTACGAAATTGTACACATATAGCCTACTATTAGCTTAAAAGGCTCTTAACCTTACCTTTAAAAAATAAGGCGCACATTGCCCTTTAAAGCCGTTTGAATTTTTAAATTAAAAAATAAGGCTGGTCAGTAGTCCCTAGCGTTTACAGTTTCCAGTAACCAGGATGTGAGGGCAAACTTTGCAACACATTTAAAAAAGGAACTTTTTCTTTCTCAAAGTCTTCTTATGGTTAGCTATTAGTTTAGATTTTTGTGCCTAGCTATTTGAAATATTCTAAGTGTAACTTGGAAGTGTGAACAAAGGAAATGCATTTTTTTCTTAGCAATTTTCAGTTCAAAGCCAACTCTATTGTGGAAATTGGAAACAGGAATATTATAACTGATATTTAGGTGTATTTGATCAGTGGACCTCTTTCCTAGAAATCTTGCTTGGGTTTTTGTGTAGCATTATGAAATGTCTTCAGGCATTTTGGAAAGATACTTAAATCTGTATATCAAAATTTGTTTTTGAAACAATGCATTAAACCAATAGTATTATTTTGGATGTTGGGAAGAAAATAACATTCAATTAATGTATCCAAAGCGAAGTGTGTGGAGCAATGGAAGCAGCACTGAGTAGGGTTTGGGGATAGTCAAGAGTCTAGTCTTAGCGTACATTTTATTTTTATTTTTATTTTTGAGAGGTTCTGACTCTGTGGCCTAGGGCTGGAGTGCAGCGGCATAATCAAGGCTCACTGCTTGCGATCTTCCTACCTCAGCCTCCCTGGCTTAAGCGATCCTCCTACCTCAGCCTCCTTGGTTGCTGGAACTGCAAGCCCGCACCACCACGCCGGGCCTTTTTCTTTTTTTTTTACCCTGTATTTTGTAGAGAAGGGCTTTCACCATGTTGCCCAAGCTGGTTTCTTATCTCCTGGGCTCAAGCGATCCACCTGACTCAGCCTCTCAAAGTGTTGGGATTACAGAGGTGAACTATCCCACCTGGCCTTACCATACAATTTATGTGACCCTGAGAAAGTCAGTTTACTATTTTGAGTTCTCTTAGTCTGTAAAATAGGAAAGTTGAAACACATGCCTTTTTTACCTAAAGCTATAGTTAAGTGATTAACGTAATGCTAATGCTGTTTGTAAGTTACCCAGGCAGGAACTGATATAAGCAGATTGAGGTATAAATTTTAACTTTTTGTTTATCTTACTGCTGATATGTTTCTTAGGAAAGGGTGAATTGTTTTCATTTAATAGTAAAACCATTATTGTACTTTGAAATCTAATGAAGCTTTGTTTATCTTGTTTTAAAATATTTTTCATGTAATTTTTGGGTACTATTTTGAAATCATGGCAACTGTGGAAACCTGTACGTAATAACATTCTACTATTAGGATAGGCATTCTCCGGATGGAAGTGTACTGTCTTGTGCTTCTTCATTCAGAGATTTGGTAATTCATTGTAACTGAAAAGGGTTTTATGCAACTTCAGTGGTCCCTTCAGCCCAGAGAAGAAATACCTTGTGGTCAGACTGTTAAAGTAAATGCAGATTAGGTACAATGATGGCATTCTTTTCAACTCTAGTTCAAAGTTTGTGAAGTGCAAAGTAAGACTTTGAAGATTTATATTGTTTGATTTTTATGATTAACCTTAAGTGCTTTGATAATATATTAACCAGATTTTAAAGAGGAAAATGAGTATTTAAGAAAAACATAGTGGTTCTACAAATGCTCTGAACTTTGAATGAATAATTGTGAGTGATCATTGTGTTGAAGGTATAAAGAAAAATGAGAGAGTTAGTTCTTTGGATATGAGAAATAAAACACCTTTCAAATTCGTGTCTTCTGGTACTTTTTTTTAATACAGCAAAAAACCCCTAGGGTTTTTCACATTCACTGAGCTGCATTGTTGAACAAGTCTTGATTATAGAGGTTCCTGCCACATATTATGCAATTAGTTGTTTCTTATGGAGTAGTGTTCTTAAATTTAATAGGCATGACCTTCAAGATCATATTAATAGTAAATTTCTGTATCTCCTTACTTTTAAGAAGGCAGCTTGACTTGGAAATGCTAAGACTTCACTTGGCAAAACCACTTGAGGAATTGGGATGGAGTGCTAATTTTTATTTTGCAGATTTTAAAAGTTTTTCTTTTATTCTTTTCTGGAGTTGTGAATAAATAGGCAAATCAAAGTTTATTAAGTGGTTTGTTTGCTGATGAAGTGAAAATTTGTTTCTCAACTTTTAATAAGTAGATGTGGAAGATGGCAAAATGCCAAGATAAAATTGTAGCTCCTAGGATCTCCAAAGAAGGGATTATACAGCACATAGAGAATCCGGTTTGAATTCAAGATACACTATTCTATTGCACGATGTAAATTATAGATGATAGCAATATTACTGTGATCTATTGAATGCATATGGGTTGGGAGATGGGATGAGGTCACTTAGCTCCTGCTGGGGAAGTTTAGAAGACTGTGTAGTAGCTACTTCCTGGAAATAAAAGAGTTAAAGGACATGTGCCCCAGAGGTAAATGCCAGAGCCTAAGACTTGGATAGCACTCTTGTCTTGTGTTTCCACCAGCTAAGCTGTTCTAGTAGAGTAAGGATTTTTAGGCATAGTTTGGGGCAAGAAATGAAAAGTAGTAGGTTTTACCATCTTTTGGTTTTAAGAAGTGACTGTTTCTTCATGTTAGTACTTTACAGTGAAAAGAGGTGTTCATAGACCCAGTACACAGCCAGTGTTTTGGCTCTGCTAACAAGTTTTTTCACTTAACCTCTCTGGAACTCACAGATCTCTCTGATCTCTTACCTCATTTAAAAACATAATAATTGAGCTTCTACCATATGTCAGGTGATGGGGCTATATCAGTGAAAAAAAATTACGTATCTAAAAATCTGTGATTCTGCATTGGATATTGCTTACCTCCATGAAACAGGATGCAACTTTAGGGCTTACAGCCACAGCAACAACTCACAGGAGCTTACAGAAAACAAAAAAGGGAGAAGGGGTGGAGGATTTATTGACCCATGTAACTGGGAAAGCCAAATTGTGACTGGTTTTAGGCATGGCTGGAACCAGGGATTTAGATGATGTCATAGGGACTTGATTCTCTTTCCATGATTCAATTCTCCTTTCCTCTGTGTAGTGCTAAAGCTAGGCTGACATTCTTACAGCTAGCAGCTAAAGACCATCTCTCTTTCTCATCCCATATTTATCTCTTATCAAGTGTTTTTGATCTTCCCCTCTTCTCTCATCTAATCACCAGGCCACCTCTGAGGTTGAGGAGGCATGACTGTGTGATTGAAAATACCAATGTATGATAATATGGAGTTGAGGTTGTTTTTGTTTGCATGTTTTATTTTTAAGCAAAAGGGGTAAGGAATTCCAGGTAGGCAAAACTAAATGATTTCTATTATATGAGCAAAAAAAAAGTTTATTTTTAAAAGTTACTTGACTGATATATATGGCTGTAATTTACATCTTTGTTATGTGATCAAATGAACCTAAAAACTTTGGATAGGAAAGTTAGTTGCCGGATATTTTAGATCTGCTCTGTTGTTTCTTTACAAAGAGGAGAAGACCAAGAGATGTAATTATTTAATTTAGTAAGGAAAAAAATGTGATTAAACATTGTATGAGTTAGAGTGATATTTACAGCTGCCCATTAAAACTTCGTCCCTTGATCTGTATGAAGTGTCCAGAGTAAGATAGGGGATAGTTTATGTCTGGAAATACTGGACTTATTATTAGCATTACATTGATACATTTTAATGTATCCAGAGAAAGCTTACTGGAATACAGAAGGCACTAGCAATGGCATCATAAAAGGAGTGACAGAAGAACCTAGAGGATATTTAGCCTGAAAAGTAAATTTAGGTGTGACTTAATAAATCTTTACAAATATGGTAATTGGAAGATTATCATGTAGAAGAGGGAAATGTAGTTGAGGTAGGGTGTGCTAACTAATGTTTCTTGAACCTTTGTTTATACTGTAT